TTCCTCCTGGCCTCCTTAGGCCCTAGGCTCTAGCCCCTGAACAACCTAGCTCTGTTGGGAGTTAGTCTGGGGAAGTGCAGATTCAACATCCCGCCTCATCTACCCTAGTCCTGAGAGAAATATGAGGCAAGATTGAGCTCAGAGTTTAGAGGCTCATGGTGAAAAGGAGGGGAAAAGGGAGGGCTCTTCTGTGCCCCCAGTTCAAAGTCACGGTTGGGAGGGTGTGCGCCTTCCTCCCTCCTTGGGGCGTTCCGAGGGAGGGATCCGGGTGCTAGTCTCCTAGAAGCTGAGCAGGAGACTGCAGGGATTTGCGGGGAGGGAGTTTTGGTGTCAGAGCAGGGGCTGGGCTGGGAGAGTAGGGTAACTGCATAAAGCTTTACGGGGGTGGCGCGACTTTAGCGTGAGGGTCTAAAGTTTAGAATTTTCAGGGAACTCGAAGAGCCCCCGTGTTTTTGTAGCAAGGAAATCACTTTGACTTTAAGGTGGGAGGCACAGGCCGCCAGAGAGCTGTTTTGGACAGGTGGCGCGTGCGCTCTGGAAAGCTGAGGGCTGGCAGGAGACGGGGCTTTCCGGATACAGAGAAGAAGGGGCCCAGAATCCCACAGCCTACGAAAATGCACCATAGGGAGGGGTGGAAACAGCCTAGAGCTGGTGTTACCTCCCACAACAGGTGCCTAGAGCCCAAGACGAGGTGTCAGACCAACGACAGCGGGTCTCTGCGCTGTCCGCGCCCAGTCCTCTCCAGCTTTACGCACGGGCTTGTCTCGCCCTCTGGTCCCTTGAGGAAGGCAGGGGAACTCCAGCCGCCTCTCCTGAGGACAGGACTTTCCCTACAGACACGGGACTTTCTACCAGGGACTCCTAAGGGCAGAAGAAGCCAGCGATCAGGGCTCTACATCAGGGCGAGGGAAAGGCTGGAATGGCCATGGCTGGCCCTGGAGAGGGGCGCACAGCCTGTTGGCGGGTGGCAAGACCTTTGAGTTAATGTATAATTGTGAGCAGATGGCGGGGGCTGGCGGCAGCCCGGGGCCTGGGCCCAGCTAATGAGGGACAATTAGCCCCAAACCCGGTGGGGGTAGTTGAGAGAGTCAGACAGTCAAGGCAGATATTTGCTCCTCAAACAGTCTAGCGCGCTGGGCAGAGGGCTGAGTGGCAGAGCCTTTGGGCTCGCTAGGCCCCCCTGCCAGGGCCCTTTACCACTTTTCCCTCCCCCATCACCTCTGGGTCGAAAGCCTCTGTTTGTTCAGACCCAAGAGCGCGTCATAAAGGCGGAGGGAGAGGGTAGTTTATGGGGTAAATCGCTGCCACCACCATCTGCCAGGGCTTGTCCCTGCTCCCCCTGATACCCCTATCTCCACCCTCATGCAGCTGTCTATAGGAATAGCTGGTCAGGACATGAGCCTTGAGCCCTTAGATGCAGGGGCAGATCTAGGGGGGAGGGATGAGGCAGGAATGGGGGACTAAGAGCAGGGCTACCACAGGTCTTCCTGGGGACCTCTTCCCACCCAGGCATGGCTAAGTAGAGTGACCAGCAGTCCCCAGCTGCCCGGGAATGGAATGGGCTGTAAGAACACTTGGGCAAATGCTGTCCTGCCCGAGGTCCTGAAATCACCCTCTGCAGTCTCCCCTGTACCCCAAGACCAGCCTGAGGATGCCAGAGGAGGGTGGAAGAGGAAGAGAGTATGTGTCAGGGTAAAGTGGAAAACTCACTTATGTGATATTTGGCCTTTGAGAGCAAGAGGATCAAGCTGAATGCACAACAACCACTTTCATCCCTAGAACTTCAAAACATTTACCCATGAAATAAGTCTTCCATTCTTTGATTTCTGGGTCTAGTCCTATTGCCCTACACCCTGCTTACTTCCAGTCTGACTTTTGCAATGGCTTCAAAGACTCTGAGGTGTGGAATGGACCCAAAGACCATCTGCCCAAGACCCTGATGACTGGCAACAAAACTTCCATGCACTAGAGGCTGTGTTTCACTTCCAGCATCCCACTCCACAGGCACCACCTGCCCAGCTACCGATGCCTCTTGCCTCGCCAATGACCCAGATAACCTGTGGTGTCTTTTGTGGAAACAACAGTGCCATTACTAACTTAGAGTGTAAATGCACCAAATCCCTAACAAAATGGAGTCTGATAACATCTAAAGAGGGAAGAAGGAAAATCCTGCTGCAAGTCTCCTTATAAACACCCATATGCATCTCTGACTATCCTGAGGCTCATTTCCACCACCACTACCATTGTCAGTGTTCTTAAGTCCAGGATCCTCCATTTCCAGGCAAGAATTCACCCTTGGTGTCACCTCAGTCAAGGAGTCAATTGGAGAATTGGTGAGGATACTCTCTGGGGACAGCTGGTGCTAAGCGACACACACTCTTCACACTCTTCTCCATTCACTCTCATTATCTCAGAGTGCTAGGAGCCAACTCAGTCAGTATTTAGGCAATAGTCTGTATACTCATTTATCTTTTATAGCAACACACATAACTCAGGAGTTGACCCCAAAGTCTAGGCATGTGCATTCTGTCTGGGAAGGTGTGTTGGTGTTTTGGGAAGGCATCTTTTGTTTCTGTACATTCAAAGCCTTAAGGACACAACCTGAAGTTCCCCATCTTCCATGCTCAGCATACCCTTCAGGAGTACTGGTGCTTGTGTGGGTGCACTTTTGCCTGCATGAGAATGGCTCTGTCCCTGCTTCAAGGTGGTAGGTGGACACAAAGTGGGCTCTGAGGATTCCCCATGGAAGGACACAGTGGGTCATTGGCTGTGGTTTGCCCTGCCTCAGGGCTGGTGTCAGTCAGCCCATGCACACCTCCCTCCTCCTCTCTCCTCTGCTCATGGCCTGTGACATCACTGGCTACTCCCAGAAGGCTGCCCTCTGCTCTTAAGCACGGGCTCTCTGTAGCTCTGGACCCCCTGGCAGGACTGAAGCAGGAGCAGAGTGGAGGCTGTGACCAAGACCAGACCATCACCACCCCTGAAGCCTGCAGGGGTCTCAGAAGTTGAGACTCCCACTGAAGCTCCCACCTCATTTCCTCCACACAGGTAGTTCACCTGCAGGCTCATTGTCTGCCCTGCCCCTTATGCTGTCTCCATGCCTCTGTGTGGCCAAACCCAACTTCTCTCCCACTCTGTCTTTGTGGCTACCACCCTCCTGCCCCTTCCACCCGCTTTCCTGTTTTTCCATCTTGCAAGCACCAGTTATTTTTTCAGACATGTTAGTACGAATGTTGGGAATGTGTGGTGTGGCTATTGGGAATGGGGTTTCTGTTTGTGAGTTGGGACATAATGATTTAGGTTTGGAGGTTATTTAGGTTTGGATACTGAACCTGCATCCCTACTGCTCCTTTGAATTCTGGTCATGTAGGAGAACTGAATCCTATCAAGGATTTAGGGTTTGGCTGATATTTTGAGCTCTTTCATCCTGTCTTGCCACAGCCCTTTACAGTCCCTGCTTGACTCTCCTCTCTCCATTGTTTTTGTGGCAATTGCACAAACATGAAGCAGGGGCGGGAGCAGAGAAAGAGAGCCCAGGATTAGGAGCCAGAAATTGTAGCCTCTGGCGAGGAACTGACTTCTGAACCTTGAGTTTTATTCTCTGGACAGCCCCTGACTTGTGGGAATCCCAATCTGTGCCTCAGTTTTCTCTTTGGAAAACCTCTGCCTTACTTCCCAACTTTTTGGAAAGATGAGAATTTGAAGGGGTCTGTGCCTCCACCTACCTAGAAACAAGTGAGTAAAAGCCAATTTAGCTACTGAACTTAATAAGTAGACTCTGGATTCCAAACTCCTTGTAATTCTTTGTTTCACCAGAGCTAGTCTCCTTTCTCCAGTTGCTCTGTAATCTGTTGGAGAGCAAAGACTTTACCCTTTTCTGTTTACTGCCTTCATCCTGAACAACCAGCAATGTGCTCATGCTTAATATCTTATTCAGCATATAACTGCAGATGAATTAACTGAGCCCAGATGGCACACTTATTACAAGAAAATTCTATGCATAAGTTGTTCCTTGGGGTGACCTCCAGCACTACCAGGGTTCCAGGCATGAAAGGAGGCATCTTCAACTCCCATTAATTACTGATGAAAGTAGAAGAGGTATGGTGGCCTGTGGGACCTGTGTCCCTTGCTGCTCAGAGACTCTCTTGGGCTCATGACGGTTTATGTATTCATCAGCAGACAGTCCTCTCCTGCTTCCCATTCCCTTCAATATGTCTTTGGTAAATGTTAGTTGAATGAATGAGTGTCTGATACCATAAAGGTGGTCTCTGAAATTGAAGCTTCACTTTGAGATCTAGAACTCTTCCGAGTTAACAGGAATGAACAATCTCAGCAGGTTAGAGATGCTAAGAGATGTGCCTCCTAGGAGAAGCCGGCTCTTCAGGCATGTTCATCTCTATGCCCAGTGTGTAGGACGAGAGCCTCAATGCCTGGGGGGTAGAGCTGAGTCCCAGTTTCTTCAGAGCTTCCTGGAGAGTATAAAAAAACAGGAGCAAGTCTTTCTGAAGTGCAGCATTTGGCTGGGCATTTTGGAGAGCCCAAATGAGGACTGCCTAATAGTGAAGGTGGACCCCTGAACTTGAGGACCTCAGAATCTCTGGCTCAGGTGTGTCATCCAGGGCTGAGAAACTTAGCAGCAGTTGGAGACAACAGCTGTCCATTTGGAAAGGGGAAAGCTTGAGCATTTGAAAGCATCATCCCTTTCTACCTCCCCAACCTTTTGTAATGAATGTGTGGGAAATGAGAACCCTCTCAATCCTCCCAGCCCCTTATCAGGACTTCAAGAAAGATCCAGTCCTCAGCCAACCTGCAGTGTTTTAGTTTTTGTCACACAAAGGTTTAAATTAAAGGAATTAGAATTTTCTAATTTTAGCCAACTCACTGGCAAATTGTAGAAACCTGACCCTCTATCACAAAACACTACCTCCCAGGACCATTTCAAGCAAAAGACCTCACCCAAATAACCCCCCGTTATTGCAGAGAGCCCCCAAGCTGAAAAAGGAGCTCCTAGAAGGAACTTCCCTTCCAAGGCTACTTTGCTGAAGTCTCATCCTTCTGAGGAGAGTCAGCCTGGAGCATGCAGCAGGACGGTGAGGAGCCTGGGGGAAGTGGGAAGACACGGAGGACGACAGAGACAGGGGAAGACCTCAGGGCTTTGCTTCCATCAACTGTTTCATCTGCCATTGGCCAATGTTCTGGAGAAGTTTTTTCCAGCCCCTCACTTCCTGCCCTGTCCTGCTTCCCTTAGATCAGGAGAGTCAGAGGTTATGAGCAAGGAACAAAGACTCACCCATGAGCCAGCTCTCAAAGCAAGTGGCTTGCGTTGACAGCCTGGGGGCAGCAAGGATGCAGTCTCCCAGGAGAGGATGCACTCAGCGTTGGGAAGCCAGGCTGGAGGGGCCTGAGTGACCCTCTCCGCATGTGGGCAGGGCAGTGGGAGGTGGTGTGTGGATACCTCTCTCTCACGCCCAGGGATCAGCAGCATGAACCAGCTTGGGGGGCTCTTTGTGAATGGCCGGCCCCTGCCTCTGGATACCCGGCAGCAGATTGTGCGGCTAGCAGTCAGTGGAATGCGGCCCTGTGACATCTCACGGAGCCTTAAGGTAATGGGCCAGCATCTTTACCCAGTGATGGGGACAGGAAGCAGGGAGAAAGGGCTCTTCTGAAGGCAAGAGCCTGGGGCTGTTGCAGGCTCTGAGGGCTTTTGGGGCTTGGGTCACTCTTGGCAGACCCTCTTGGAGGTTGAAAAGGGGAACTTCAGACCCTCAAAGGTGAGGCTGGACTCCCAACTCCATGGCCTGGTCCAGTAAGTTTTGGCTTTGCCTTGTAGCCTCCTCCTGTCCCAGGGACACTCTCCCTCCTTCTGCCCATTGTGCCTCACCTGTCCCTGCTTCTCACCTGACTCAGGTATCTAACGGCTGTGTGAGCAAGATCCTAGGGCGTTATTACCGCACGGGTGTCTTGGAGCCCAAGGGCATTGGGGGAAGCAAGCCACGGCTGGCTACACCCCCTGTGGTGGCTCGAATTGCCCAGCTGAAGGGTGAGTGTCCAGCTCTCTTTGCCTGGGAAATCCAACGCCAGCTTTGTGCTGAAGGGCTTTGCACCCAGGACAAGACTCCCAGCGTAAGTACCCTTCCCTTCCAACAATGGGGCTGGAAAACAGGCTTTCTGGGGAGACAAATAGCCTTTCTTATTTGGCAATGTGGGCATCCCAGGCTGGTGACAGGGCTCCTGCGCTCTTCTGACCCATACGTTTTTCTTTTGAAAAGTGGTGGTAATAAGATAATTGGGAAGGAGAAAGCATAGAGAGAGAGATGAGGCTGCCCTTAGGAACAATGTGTGGGTGGAGACAGACAGGAAAAAGGATATTAAGGGGAATGTCCTCAGGGTATAGCCCTGGGTCTGAGCACCATCTCTCCACTCAACACCCCGACACTCCTAGGTCTCCTCCATCAACCGAGTCCTGCGGGCACTACAGGAGGACCAGGGACTACCGTGGACACAGCTCAGGTCACCAGGTGAGTCTTGGAGTTGTCCCCAGGGCTAATCAGAGCCGAATCTCCAACATTTTATGGTTCTCAAAGCCTTTTCTCGTTCTTTCTTGGATCATCTTCACAACAACCCAATAAGGAGGACCAGGCAGTGAGTCTTATTCTCTCCCAGCAGAAGAAAATTGACATCCAGAAAAGTCAAGTGACTTACCCAAGGTCACCAGCTAGTTGATGGCAGGCCCTGGAACAGAACCCAGGTCCCCCAGCCCCTGGATTCACAGGATCTATTGAAGAAGAGGCAGGACTGAGTCTCATACCCTCCCTCTGCTCTGTGCATAGCTTCTTAGAGCATCATTCATGTTCTTTGGGACCACACACACCTGGCCCAAGCCTGCTACTGGTCCCTCCAAAGCCCCGCACATTAAGCATACACCCCACCATGGTATTGAGAACCCTTTCCACCAAGTGACCCTGCAGTGACCTCTAAGTAACTGTGAACGCCCCACCAACTTGGCTCTGCTCTTCTACCCATGGTGAGACACCCAGCTGCAGCCCCAGGGACTTAGGGACCCCATCTGACCAGAGGAATCACCATCGCAAACCACCACAGACTGTTGTCTTCCTTTTCAGCTGTTTTGGCTCCAGCTCTCCTCACTCCCCACAGTGGCTCTGAGACTCCCCGGGGTCCCCACCCAGGGACCGGCCACCGGAATCGGACTATCTTCTCCCCAAGCCAAGCAGAGGCACTGGAGAAAGGTGCTGGGCTGGGGCAGATGGAGGGTCAGAGAGTCCTCAGTGTGACACAGGGACAGTGGCCCTGAGGTCTGTGGGCAAAGGCTGAGAGGTGCAGGCTGTGAGTGGCCCTGCCTTGAGGAGGAAGGTAGTTTGGGGTTGTAGCAGGTGGGGAGTGTTGCCTGAGGGGAGACCCATGTCTTGCTCCTCTCCCGGTGCCCTTACTTTGTGACCCTCAATCTCCACAGAGTTCCAGCGTGGGCAGTATCCTGATTCAGTGGCCCGTGGAAAGCTGGCTGCTGCCACCTCTCTGCCTGAGGACACTGTGAGGGTGAGTGAGCTCTGCAACACTGTGCACAAACCACAAGGAAGAAGAGTCTGTGCTGGCCAGGGCTTTGGGTTCCAATGAGGTGGAGAGGGGAGGTGAGAAGGTGGAAACAAACTTGTTTGGAGCAACAATCAGAGACGAGACCCTCCTTGTTCACCTTCTGCTGATTGCTCTCCTCTCTTCCCCAACCCAAACCTTTGAGTTGAGGAAGGGGCCAGAGAGCAAAAGCTAGAGCATGGAGGGAGGATGTCAGGCCCAAGGAAGGGCCAACATTCTGAGTTTGGGCTAGGAATATGTGGTGAGATCAGCAGGTGACAGGCAGCGTAAAGTACATCCAGCTGCATTGTCCCTGTCCTCGCTCAGGTCTGGTTTTCCAACAGAAGAGCCAAATGGCGCCGGCAAGAGAAGCTCAAGTGGGAAATGCAACTGCCAGGTGATTTCTCTGCACCATCATCCATCTGCCTGCTCATTCATCTATCCATCCATCCAGCCAGCCAGCCAGCCATCCCCCATTCATCCATCCATTTATCCATCCACCCATGTATCCATCCATCCATCCATCCATCTGTCTATCCACACATCCATTCATCCATGCATCATCCACCCAGCCATCCACCCAGGTACCCATTTATCCACTCATCTATCCATGCATCCATCCCTCCATCCATCCATCCATTTATCCATCCACCCATCTATCCATCCATCCAACCAGCCAGCCAGTCACCCACCCACCTGCTCACCCACCTATCTACCTATCCATTTATCCATCCATCAATTCACCCATTCATCCATGCATATCCCCATGCATCCATCCATGCATCTGCTCATGCATTCATCCATTCATCCACTCATGCATCCATCCACCCACTCATGCATCCATGCATCCATCAATTCATCTTTCCATTAATCTATGTATCCATCCACCCATCCATCCAACATTTACTCAGCATCTCCCAAGTGCCAGACCATGTGCCAGATGCTGGGCACACACAGTCCCCGTTCTTAAGGCTGCATTGTCCCCAGTACCATCACTGGAATTTAATCATTCTTCTCCAGTTTCCCAAGGACCTGTCTTGGGGAAGAGGACAGTTTTGGGTTAAAATATCCATCTCCTCCCACCCCTTCTAGAAGTGGTTGTTTCCTGGCATCCAACCTTCCTGCCTGTCACCACACTCCTCCCGTACCCGGCCCCAATTCCTCCTTCTGAGTGGATTCACTCTTATTTTATAGGTGCTTCCCAGGGGCTGACTGTATCAAGAGTTGCCCCAGGAATCATCTCTGCACAGGTACTCAGGAGGAGAGGGGAGTCTGTGCCGTGGGAAGACTGAAGGGCTCACAGGCTCTCCCATTTCTGGCCTGAGTCAGGATCTCTGGCTCTCTAGGGCCCCACAGAGTCCATGTTGAGAAAGTACTATCCCCAAAGTCTACTATGTGAACGGTGCCTTCTGCAGTTGTGCAGGATACAACCTGGGTGGCAGGCAGCTCTGGGGTCCCAGCGTTCTCTACTGGAGGCATCACTGGAAGCTGAGGTTCTTCTCTTGCTTTCTTTTAGCAGTCCCCTGGCAGTGTGCCCACAGCAGCCCTGCCTGCCCTGGAACCGCTGGGTCCTTCCTGCTATCAGCTGTGCTGGGCAACAGCACCAGACAGGTGTCTGAGTGACACCCCACTTAAAGCCTGTCTCAAGCCCTGCTGGGGTAAGAATTCAGGCCAGGCCTCAGTCCTGCAGGATGTGGGGGAGGGCTGACTGATCCAACCTCCAGGAGAGCATGGATCTCCACTGGGGGTCATCAAAGGAACCTCAATACAGCTTTCCTCATTCTATGCATGGTCCACAAAGTTAGGGAGACTAGTAACCCTTGAGTCTATGGTATCACTGACAGCCATAGCAGGTAAGGGTGTGAGATTGGGATTCAAGTGTGTATATGCAGGATGGGAAACTGATGTCTCAGTCTCTCTCCCACAGTGACTTTGAGAGGTGGGATGGGAACAATAACCCCAAGCTCTCTCTATTTGTCCCCACAGGCCACTTGCCCCCACAGCCGAATTCCCTGGACTCAGGACTGCTTTGCCTTCCTTGCCCTTCCTCCCACTGTCCCCTGGCCAGTCTTAGTGGCTGTGAGGCCCTGCTCTGGCCTGGCTGCCCACTACTGTACGGCTTGGAATGAGGCAGGAATGGGAAGGAGATGGCATAGGGAGGATCTAATACCATCCTGCCCATTGTCCTTACCATCTTGCCCATATAGACTGTGGCTCCTTCCTCTTTCCTGTGATTGCTCCCTCCTGTGTGGACCTTGCCTGGCCCTGCCTCGATGCCTCTCTGGCATATTACCTGATTGGAGGGGCTGGTGAAGCAACACCCACCCACTTCTCACACTGGCCTTAAGAGGCCTCCACTCAGCAGTAATAAAAGCAGTTTTTATTAGCAGTAGTTCTGTTGTCCATCATGTTTTCCCTATGAGCACCCCTATGCCCACTCTAATATTTAACAATTATAGACAGTTTGCCCTATCATTTATTTACATCTACGTATCTTATCCTCCAATCTATGCATGTATGTATGTATGTGTGTAGGCTATATATGTATCTAAACAATGTATTTGTCAATGCATCAATTTATCTACTCTATTATGTATGTATCTATATGTGTATTATGTATGTATCTATCTTGGTGTTTGGGGGCTCATATGTCTATGTGTATGCACAAGTGTGTGTGTGCACACACACACACACACACTGATATTATATCATGGCATTTTATTCCTAAATCTTCCAGCATGCATCCCCAAAAAACAAGAAACTTGTCTTACATAATCACAATATTATATCCGCATCTAAGAAAATTTACTGTAACTCCTTAATCTAAGAAAATAGACATTCATTCCCTAATTGCATATGTATTTTTGTCATAGCAGCAAGCAGAGTGAAATGCCATTTTTCATATTTTGCTTTCCATTTATATGTGCTTTATTTATACATGCTCCAGGGGCATGTTTGCTTCGTTCTTTGGGCAGTGAGTTCTAAATCTTCTGAATTCTGTCCCTTCAAATAAAGGTCTAGGCCCTTCCTGAGAAGTCTGAGGATGTGGAGAAATGGAGGAATATGAGGGAAAGGAGGTGAAGAATGGGATATTCGAAAGGAGGATAGGCTTATCCTTCCAAGTTCTTTCCCTTTTGAAAAGCAGGGAATGGATAATGATGGTGCAGTGCTGGTGGGGGTGGGGGGGTGTTGTTTACTTCTATCTGGGATAGGTACTGATCCAGAAGATGTCATTCAAGAGGCCTCTTCATTATCAAATACCGTGCTGTGCTGAGCTGTGCTGTTCTGAGCTGTGCTGTTAAATAAGTAGCCACCAACCACATGTGGCTATTTAAATGTAATTCACATTAAAAAGAAGAAGAAGAAGAAGAAAAACAATGCAGTTCTTCACTCACACTAGCCACTTTCCAAATGCCCAATAGTTACATGTGGCTTGTAAAGACTATAGAGCATTTCAGTCATTGCAGAAAGTTCTATGGGACTGCACAGCTCTAGAATGAAATTTTGAGGGTAATAGAGCACATCCTGTCCCTGCCTTGCCTTCTCTACTTTCCAGCTGGAGGTCCTGCTAGGCAGAACAGAAAGAGATGAGGTTGACAATCTGCACAGTGCAGTCTGAGAACAAGCATTCATTCACTTCAACGACAGGACCGACATCGGTCACTGAAGGAGCTGTCTCAACTGAGGCCTCATGGTTGTGATGGTAGTGGCAGCCCATCTTGAGTCACTGCTGTGAAGATGCTGGCTTCAGAGGGGGAAGCACGGCTGGGGTTGTGCACTCTGCAGGGACAGCGGGAACCCGGAACAGGCAGGAGCCATGCCCCCAACAAAGTTGGCAGGGTGGGAGCCCAGTGCTCCTGGACACAGCTGCAGCTGCCTAGCCACAGATCCAAACCCAGGCATCCCTGCATTCTCAGGGGCCCAGGAAGCCCCTGCCCCACAGGCTCAGAAGTGCCTGTTCCTACTCCCTGACTTCTCCTTGCCCCCAGAGCCCACTCGGGTGTGGAGTAAAGTTGTGGCTGCACCTGGGTGCTATCACGACCTGGTTGGGTGTGTGCATGCTCTGGGTGGTACAGAGACACACCAGCCCCCCTACCACCTTGGCCCCCTCCAGACTTTGGGTGCCAACAAGTGCAGGAGAAAGGCCAGAGGGAGGGGACCGAGGGCATCTTGGTGTGGGCCTGCAGGCACCCCTTAGGACAAACAGCCTGGGTGCCATGGATAGCATGTTGATAGTGGGAGGCAGGCAGTTTCCTAGATGGAAAGGGGCAAGTCCCCAGTGAAACCCCACCTTTAAGCCAGGAATGGCCTGAAGCCTGGGGGCCAGGCTGCCAGTTCTGGGTGAAGTAGGAGGCCCAGAGTGAGGACTTCACTGATGACCCTTTGGCCAATCGGATGGTGCTTTTTCCAGACCTACCCATGGCCACCTATGGACCAGTCAGCACACATTCCTCTCTTCTGAGCCCATAAAAACCCCAAGACGCAGCCAGAGTCACACAGACATCGGGACTACCAGCTATGGGAAGGAGCTACCCATTTCAGGTGTCCTCAACTATTTGGAATGACCTGCCAGCAGAAAGGAGCTACCTACTTCCTGTTCTGGAAAGGAGCTATTCTGTTGCTCAGTGAAGCTCCTCTCTACCTTGCTTACCCTCCAGTTGTCCACATACCTCATTCTTCCTGGACATGGGACAAAAACTCCAGATCCACCAAATGGTGGGACTGAAAGAGCTATAACACAAACAGAACTGGAACACTCACACACACACTCTCACCATGTTGTGGGTGATGAGAAAGAGAGAAGAGCTGTGGCCCTTCAGGGACCCCAGACCTAGGGGCTCCCCAGGCCAGGGCTGTGATACCCTCTTTGGGGCCCTGCATCTCCAAGCTTCCAGGCACCACTGCATTCTCCAGCACCTGCAGTGGATGCTGCTTGTGGTCCTGCTGAAGCCTTGCACAGAGCCGGCATCTGTACCAGCACCTGGAGCTGCCTGCCCCCCACAGCCAGGATGTCTGACTGTGCACAGTGGCTACACCCCCCACTTGTTCACATAACCCTCACTGCTCCACTCCTGGCTCACTCTGGGCAGGTGTGGGATCCAGGACAGTAGTACAAGCTGAGTGCAGCCTGCCACGCCGAGTTTGTGGAATGAGCCCAGCAGCCTGAGCAAAACTCAGGCAAAGGCACTACCAGCCACAGAGGTTTCCAGCCAGAAAAGCAACACCTGAAGTATCCCGTGACAGTTGGCCATGTGGGGAACAGGGCATAAGATTGTGTGTGTGTGTGTGTGTGTGTGTGCCCATGCATCTGAGTGTGTACAGTATTCCCCCCTGTATCCATGGTTTTACTTTTTGGGTTTCAGTTACTTGTGATTAACTGCAGTCTGAAGATATTAAATGGAAAATTCCAGAAATAAGCAACCCATTGATTTTAAGTTGCATGTCATTCTGAGTAGCTTGAGAAGTCTTGTATCTCCATGTTGTCTATGCTACCTGCTCACTAGTCAGTGGCAGTCTTGATTATCAGATAATTGTCTTGGCATTGCAGTGCTTGTGTTCATGTAACCCTTATTTTACTTAATAATGGCCCCAAAGTGCAAGAGTAGTGATAGTGGCATTTGTGATAATCATTCTATTTTATTATTAGTTATTGTTTACTTCTTACTGTGCCTAATTTACAAATTAAACTTTAGGTGTGTATGTATAGGAAGAAAGAGTGTATGTATGATATGGTACTACCTGTGGTTTCAGGTATATGCTGGAAGTCTTAGAACACATCCCCTGCAGGTAGCTGGGGGGATTAGAATGCTGAGGGAGAGATTCGGCATTAAATGACCTCCAAGGTCCTATCGCTCTGAAGAGTGTATCCCACTGCACATATGTGGATATGAAATTTCAAGGTTAATAGAGCACTATCTTTTTTTTTTTTTTTGAAACAGGTTATTTCCCTGTTGCCCAGGCTGGAGTGCAGTGGTACAACCTCAGTTCACTGCAGCCTCAACCTCCGGGCTCAAGCAATCCTTCTGTCTCAGCCTCCCAAGTAGCTGGGAGTATAGGAGCACACCACCATGCCCGGCTAATTGTTTTGTTTTTCGTAGAGACAAAGTCTCCCTGTGTTGCCCAGGCTGGTCTTTAACTCCTGGGCTCTAGTGATCCTCCTGCCTTGGCCTCCCAAGGATTAAAGGCGTGATCCACTACATCCAGCAAGTGGTCTATTCTTAATGCTTTCTAGGAAAGGAAATGCTCTGAACTCCAGTGTTCTACTTTTCACTTACCTCACCTATTACTGGACTGAAATTTAAAAAAAATTCTTTTATATCTCTTGAGGGGTGATATACTTACAAAAAATAAAATCATTTTCCTCTATCCAAACTGAATCTCTCTCATGTTCCAGTTTCAGCCTTCTGTTGTCAACAGATTTAAAAATCAGACATTCATTATGGTATGGGGCAAATTTTCCAAAGTGGGGAATAGGCAGCACTGTTGGTATTTAAGAACACTTCAGGAGGCGTGTGTATGTTGATTCAAATAATATTGAGTCAGAAGTGAGAAAATTATTCCCTTTCCAACCCCCTTTCAATTCTGATTGTATCAAGGAGAAAGTTTCACTTTGGTCCTAGTCTTTGGTGTCACTTTAACAGTTGTTGGCCGGACGCGGTGGCTCATACCTGTAATCCCAACACTTTGGGAGGCGAGGCGGCCTGATCACTTGAGGTCAGGAATTTGAGACCAGCCTGGCCAACATGGTGAAACCCCATCTCTACTAAAAATACAAAAATTAGCCGGGCATGGTGGCAGGAGCCTGTGGTCCCAGCTACGTGGGAGGCTGAGGCAGAAGAATTGCTTGAACCCGGGAGGCAAAGGTTGTAGTGAGCCCAGATCGTGCCACAGCACTCCAGCCTGGGTGGAGTCAAAAAAATAAAAATAAAAAAGTTCTTCATCTCTTTTATTAGTAAAGGGTAAAGGGAAAAGGAACCTCAGGCTCTGAGCCTTGGGCAGGGAAGAAAAGTTTAACTAGGATTTGGTATCATCACTTTATTTTCATTACACAAGTGCACCTCATTTTAGTGCACTTTGACTTTGCTTTAGTGCATTACACGGATACTGCTTTTTTATTTTTATATTTTGTTAAACAAATTGAAGGTTTGAGGCAAGTCTGTTGGTACCACTTTCCTAAGAGCATGTGCTCACTTTGTGTCTCCATGTCACATTTTGGTAATTTGGTAATTCTTGCAGTATTTCAAACTTTTTCATTGTTATCTGTTATGGTAATCTGTGATTAATGATCTTTGATGTTACTATTGTAATTGTTTTGGGGCGCCACAACTCACATCCATATAAAATGGTGAACTTGGCTGGGCTTAGTGGTTCATGCCTGTAACCTAGTACTTTGGGAGGCTGAGGCAGGTGGATCACCTGAAGTCAGGAGTTTGAGACCAACCTGGCCAACATGGTGAAACCCTGTCTCTACTAAAAATACAAAAATTAGCTGGGTGTGTCGGCATGTGCCTATAATCCCAGCTACTTGGGAGGCTGAGGCAGGAGAATCCCTTGAACCCAGGAGGTGGAGGTTGCAGTGAGCTGAGATTGCACCACTATACTCCAGTCTGGGTGACAGAGCGAGACTTTGCCTAAAATAAAATAAAATAAAATAAAATAAAATAAAATAAAATAAAATGGTGAGCTTAACTGACAAATGTGATATGTGTTCTGACTGCTCCACGGACTGGTCCTTCCCACTTCTCCCTCCCTCTCCTCAGGCCTCCCTAATCCCTACGACAACAATATTGAAATTAGGCCAATGAATAACCCCACAATTCCTTCTTAGTGTTCAAGAAAGGACAGCCACACATCTCTCCCTTTAAAGCAAAATCTACAAATGATGAAGCTTAGTGAGGAAGACCTGCTGAGAGCTGAGATAGGTGGAAAGCGAGGCCTCCTTTGCCAAACAGTTATTAGCAAATTGTGAATGCAAAAGAAAAGTTCTCGAAGGAAATTAAAAGGGCTACTCCAGTGAACACACAAATGATAAGAAAGTGAAATAGCGTTATTGCTGACAGGAGAAAGTTTTAGTGGCCTGGATAGATCAAACCAACCACAACACTCTCTTAAGCCAAAGCCTAATCCAGAGCAAGGCCCTAAACTCTCTTCAATTCTATGAAGCTGAGAGAAGTGAGGAAGCTGCAGAAGAAAAGTTTGAAGCTAACAGAGGTTGGCTCATGAGGCTTAAGGGAAGAAGCCATCTCCATAACATAAAAGTGCAAAGTGAAGCAGCCAATGTTGATATATTATAGAAGCTGCAGCAAGAGCCAGAAGATCCAGCTAAGATCACTGATGAAGGTGGCTATACGAAACAACAGATTTCAATATAGATGAAACAGGCTTCTATTAGAGGGTGCCATCTGAACTTTTACAACTACACAGAAGTCAATGCTTGTTTCAAAGTTTCAACAGACAGCTGTTGACTCTCTTGTGAGGGGCCACTGCAGCTGGTGACTTTAAGTGGAAGCCAGTGCTCATTTATCATTCTGAACATCCTAGGGCCCTGCAGAATAATGCTAAATCTACTCTGCCTGTGCTCTGTAAATGGAACAACAAAGCTTGGATGACAGCACATCTGTTCACAGTGTGGTTTACGGAGTATTTTAAGCCAGCTATTGAGACCTACTGCTCAGAAAAAAATATTTATTTTAAAATATTACTGCTCATTGACAATGCCTTAATTGAGACGTCACCCAAGAGCTCTGATGGCGATATATAAGGAGACTAATGTTGTTTTCATGCCTGTTGTCCTAATATCCATCCTGCAGCCTGCAGATCAAGGAGTAATTTTGACTTTCAAGTCTTATTATTTAAGAAATACATTTTATACAGTTATACCTGCCTTATATTAGTGATTCCTCTGATGGATCCAAGCAAAGTAAATTGAAAACCTTCTGAAATGGATTCATCACTCTAGATGCCCATTAAGAACATTCATGATTCATGGGAGAAGGTCAAAATATTAATAGTAACAGGATTTTGGAAGAAGTTTATTCCAACCCTTATGGATGACTTTGAAGAATTCAGCACTTCATTGGAGGAAATCACTGGAGATGTGGTGAAACAGCAAGAGAACTAGAATTAGAAGTGGAGCCTGAAGATGAGACTGAATTGCTATAATCTTGTGATAAAACTTGAATCGGTAAGGAGTTGTTTCTTATGGATGAACAAAGAAAGTGTTTTTTTTGTTTTTGTTTTTGTTTTTAAGGCAGAGTCTTGCTCTGTCATCCAGGCTGGAGTGCAGTGGTGCTATCCCGGCTCACTGCAAGCTCCGTCTCCTGGGTTCACACCATTCTCCTGCCTCAGCCTCCTGGGTAGCTGGGACTACAGGCGCCCGCCACCATGCCTGGCTAATTTTTTGTATTTTTAGTAGACACAGGGTTTCACCGTGTTTGCTAGGATAGTCTGGATCTCCTGACCTCGTGATCCACCCACCTCGGCCTCCCAAAGTGTGAGGATTACAGGTGTGAGCCACCACGCCTGGCCAGAAAGTGGTTTCTTGAGATGGAATGTACTCCTGGTGAAGATGCTGTGAACATTGCTGAAACGACAATTGAAGATTTAGAACATTACATAAACTTAATTGATAAAACAGCAACAGGGTTTGAGAGGATTTATTCCGATTTTTAAAGAAGTTCTGCTGTGGGCCAAATGCTATCAAACAGCATCACATGCTACAGAGAAATCTTCCGTGAAAGAAAGAATCAATCAATGCAGCAAACTTTATTGTCGTATTTTATGAAATCACCACAGCTACCCCAACCTTCAGCAACCATCACCTTGATCAGTCAGCAACCATCAACATAAAGGCAAGATCCTCCACTGGCAAAAATATTATGACTCACTGAAGGTTCAAATGATCATTAGCCTTTTTTTTTTTGAGATGGAGTCTCGCTCTTTTGCCCAGGTTGGAGTGCAATGGCACCATCTCAGCTCACTGCAACCTCTGCCTCCTGGGTTCAAGTGATTCTCTTGCCTCAGCCTCCCAAGTAGCTGGGGTTACAGGCATCTGTCACCACACCCAGCTAATTTTTTGTATTTTTAGTAGAGATGGGATTTCAACCATGTTGGCCAGGCTGGTTTTGAACTCCTGACCTTAAGTGATCTGCCTGCCTAGGTCTCCCTAACACCTAACGTTAGGATTACAGGCGTGAGCCACTGCGCCCGGATGATCATTAGTATTTTTTAGCAATAAAATATTTTAAAATTAAGGTATGTACATTGTTTTTAAGACATAATGCTATTGCATACTTAATAGACTACAGTATAGTGTAAGCATAATTTTTACAAGTCTGGGGAAACCAAAAAATTTGTGTGACTTGTTTTATTGCCATATTTGTTTTATCACAGTGGTCTGGAACTGAACCCACAATATCTCTGAGGTATACTTGTATTTATTTTTATACTCATTTTCCACTTAAGGTAAGTGATTCTGGTTTTCCATTTTATGATAGTGAAAAAATATTCCTTTCTAAATAAATGTATTTGAGAGTCTATGTCAATAAGAACATTAATAGGGCAGATGGTAGGTAGATGAAGGCCAAAATCACAAAGACAGTGTAAGAATAACAGACATTTTGGAAATCCTGCTTTGATTGAAAGAATGGTGGACATTAGAGTTAGATTGAGTCAGAAGTCTAGCTGTGTTGTGAATAGTCATGAGACCCTGGGCAAATAACTTTTGCTATCTGTGAAAGGTAAGAAGTCTGTCGGGTGTGGTGGCTCATGCCTATAATCCCAGGACTTTGGGAGGCCGAGGCGGGTGGATCACCTGAGGTCAAGAGTTCGAGACCAGGTTGGCCAACATGACGAAACCCTGTCTCTACTAAAAATACAACCAAGAAAAGTAACTGGATGTGGTGGCAGGCACCTGTAATCCCAGCTACTTGGAAGACTGAGGCAGGAGAATTGCTGGACCCCAGGAGGTGGAGGAGGTTGCAGTGGGCCAAGATCATGCCACTGCCACTGCACTCCAGCCTGGGCGACTGAGCAATAATTTGTCTCAAAAAAAAAAAAAAAAAAAAAAGGAAGAAGTGATGGAGGAAGTACCCACTTCACTGGAAAAAAGGTAATGATGGGTGGGCTAAGTTGGATAAATCGTGGTAGGAGGAGGTAAAGCGGCCTATACAGGCATAAGGTGTTATTACCATTATCCTGTGCCCACAGGATTAACAATCTTTCCTTTTTTATAAACCAAAAAGATATTTAAAGTCATAACTGGATTCTAAACCCTTCAGGGCAATACTGGCTGCTCACGGGTTCACTGGAAAAAGTCTAGCAGTTCTGGACAGGGACAGGGAGGATCAGTGGAAGAACTGCTTGCCATTTGGTCTCTCCTGGATAGAACTTAGAGCAGCCTGGGGCCTCTGTTTCAACCCTCATCCAGACCCCTACTCTATACTGAGTCAGATGCACACAAGGATCTTGGGGGTGGCCTGTTGTGATGTATTGTTGCATAAAACAGGTGTTTTGCTAAACTGAGTAGGAAGAGTTGTAACAGATATTCTTCTCTTGGATCTTGACTCTGGGGTTCCTGTTCCATTTAGTGTAGTAGTTTTTCTTGGAGGATTTGGATTTTGGTAGGTGACATTCGATTGACCTGGAGAGGAAAGAGGAAATATAAATGGTCAGCAATCAAGTTAGTCATTTGCTGATCTCTGGCTTTTAGAATACTGGGTAAGATCCTGTGGGAGGAAAGAGAATAAAGTGATTTATCCCATTGTTGATGAGGGATCCACCCTAGATATATGTGAAGTTAACTTACAGGAGGAAGCTCTTGATTCCAGGTCTGCGTGATGTCAAAAAGCACTTTGCACAATAAGTCAGGAAAGTGAAGTCCATTAGGAAGGGACAGGACTAAGAGCAACAAGGTGCCCTGAAGAGTGTGAACAGGGAATGGTGGAAGGGAAGCAGCATGTTATAAAAGCAAACAGAGTGCAAATGAGATTGGATGTTAGAGATGAGATTGGATGGATGGATCTGGCAGCAGGAAATGCTTCGGGGAGCCGAAGAAGCAGTGCTTCTGGAGAAAAGCCTGGAGCCAAGCGGTGGCAATGATAATTAAGAAGAGCATGCAAGAGGCATTGTTAAATAAGTAGCCAAGAATTTGCAGGGCTTGATGAAGGAAGTGAAAGAAAGGGTAGAGAGATGGTGCTGAGCTCTTGAGCCTGAGCATTTGGGAGGAGGAAATGCCCAAGATGGTCCTGGGGAAGGCAGGAAAACAGGATCACCTTAGGAAGGGAAGATGAGCAGGTTGATATCAACTATGTTGATTTTTAGGAACTGTCAGGATGAAGTCAAGTCAACTGTCTATCAGGAGGTTGGAGAGACATGACATTAGAGGTCAGGAGAAGGGTCGGAGCTGAGGACAAATATTCAAGAACTCCAGGGGTCCAAGAGGTAGGGATAGAAAGTGCAAAGGATAGAAAGCACATCTTTTTTTTACCTACACATATGATCAAAGTCGTCCATTTTCCCTAAAAATAGAGTGAAATTCTGCATCTTAATGAAGATAGAGATGTACAAGAATACCTCACCCTGTCCCCTCCAGGCATGCTTGCAAGCCCTCGAGTCAGTGTGGCATAGCAGTGGGAAACTGTCTCCCCTCTCTAGCAAGCCCAGGTTTATAAGCTCTCAAGAAATGGCACAGATTTGGAATAAATGTCTGGAGTTGATCAAATTATGGGACAGACGTCAGCCTGGGAGTGCATTTTGGTCTTCCCATCATATGCCTCCCCACCCACCTCCCATCTCCTCTTGCCCCATGGCTTCTGCTCCCCTAGCCCCTTACCTCTTCTTCTCCCTTACCTAAAATTCCCAGATACACTCTTTGGTAATGTCTTCGCTGTCTGCCAACAGGGTGCCGCTTTGGTCGGCTCGCATGTAGAAGCCATTGGGGGCCAGTACGGTGAGTAAGTTGCTCCCCTGAAGCTCGATACAGAAGTTGAGGGCAAACTTGCCCCAAGGGCGAAAGGTACCAAAGGATGTTATTGACCAGAAGGATCCCCCCTGTGCTGGAGAAGGAAGAGCTCAGGTTGGTGGGCCATTCATAGGGGAGTCCTCCAGCAACCTAGCCTTGGAGAGGCTTCGTGGAGGCATGCCACCCTCCCCTGGCTGCCCCATCCTGCCTGCATTGGCAGGTCCTTCTACGGAAATGCAGGAGGGCCAATAGGGATTCCACTGCTGTCTGTTCTGCCAACCCACCTGGGGCTTTGAAGTGTGAAAACAAACAGAGATCCTGTTTTTCTTTTTTTTTTTTTTTTTGAGATGGAGTCTCGCTTTATGCCCAGGCTGGAGTACAGTGGCGCAATCTCGGCTCACTGCAAACTCCGCCTCTGCCATTCCTCCTGCCTCAGCCTCCCGAGTAGCTGGCACTACAGGCGCCCACCACCACACCCGGCTAGTTTTTTGTATTTTTAGTAGAGATGGGGTTTCAATATGTTAGCCAGGATGGTCTCGATCTCCTCACCTCATGATCCACCCGCCTCGGCCTCCCAAAGTGCTGGGATTACAGGCGTGAGCCACTGTGCCCGGCCTGTTTTTCCTTTTATAATGAGAGGCCCTGGGTGGCAGGCCCTGAAGTCTGAGCTGGGGCTAAGGCAGGGACTAGACTGTGAACTCTCAGGCGGGGAAGAGGAGCCACTCACCCTGGAAGTGGTAGATACCCTGTCGGCAGGGTAGTAGGTGAATGCGGTCAGGCTGATCCTGGTTGCACTGTATGAGGTCATGGCCTGATGAGGAGCCCACATAGCCATAACGACCTCGCAATACAAGGAAGGGGCGATTGGCAAATAAAATCCCAAATTCCTCATTTGGGCCTGGAAGAAATAGGAAGGATTATCTGGATGGGCTGCCTTTAGGTGTTTCTCCCAAGTGGAAGCAGGAGGGGGGGACACTAATTGCAGAAGGGTGTGGTCAATATTTTAACATTGAATGAACACCTACTATGTGTCAGGTCTTACACTAGGTGCTTGTGAAATGCTTGTGAGAGCACCTAGCACATGCGAAACCCAAGAAGCTTTAACATTCTTCCTTCCTTTGAGGTGTGTTGATGTGTTTAATCCTCACAACAATTCTGTGAGGCCGCAGAATTGTAGACAATGAAATGTCCATTTTTATAGACGACAAAACTGAGGCTCAAGGAGGTGCTTTGCTCAAGTGATGACAAAAATTCAGTGACTGAACGAGTACAGACCCAAATCTTCTGACTCCGACTCTAGTGTTTTGTTTTTTTGTTTTTGTTTTTTTCCTTTTTTGAGATGGAGTCTCACTCTGTTGCCCAGGCTGGAATGCAGTGACACAATCTTGGCTCACTGCAACCTCCACCTCCCAGGTTCAAGCGATTCTCCTGCCTCAGCCTCCTGAGTAGCTGGGGTTACAGGTATGCACCACCACGTCTGGCTAGTTTTTGTATTTTCAGTAGAGATGGGATTTCACCATGTTGGTCAGGCTGGTCTCAAACTTCTAACCTTGTGATCCACCCACCTCAGCCTCCCATAGTGCTGGGATTACAAGCGTGAGCCACCACACCCGGCCTTCAGTGTTCTTTTTAACCATCATATTCCACCTCCCTCTAAAGTTCTCCCTGACTTGGAATCATCTGGTAGGAAGGCTGCTCCACTCACCTGGAAGGGTAGCATTGGCCATCAGCAGGCCGTTGGGTGCAATGCCCAGGAAGCGCCCCCTGCAGGACTGCAGGATGATCCTGCCACAGTTCCAGTGCATTCGGAAGAACGTGTCAGACTCCAGGGGGTGCCCATCAGCCATCACTGCCCTGTGGCGCCTCTGGAAAGAATGTCAGGAACAGAGATGAGGAGTAGTAAGGACCGACAATCTCAGCTTTCTAGGAATAAAACCAGTTTTATTCCTAGACTCTCTTTCCCACATCCCACCTATCAGCCTTTTTCATGCTCCCAGAGTTGATGAGAATCCTTTTGGAAGATGTACTGTGGCCTCAGCTCTCCCCGTTCCCCCAGTCTGTGCTGTATCCCAGAGCACAGCATAAAAACTAGGTCAGGATATCACAGGGAGAGAAATAAACCTCAGTCTTGACTCCAAAATCATTTTGAAGTAGATCATAGGCATAAAAGTGAAAGGTAAACTATGAAACATCTAGAAGAATACATAAGAGAAGTTCTTTGCAAGTTTGGGGTAGGCAATGGTTTCTTGGGACAAGAAAAGCAGTAACCATTTTAAAAAACTGATAAACTGAACTTCACTGAAATTAAAAACTTGCTTCTCAAAAGAACCATTAAACAAATAAAAAGGCAAGCCCCAGGTTGGGAGAAAACTTTTGCAATACATATATTTGGCAAAGGACTTGGATTTAGAATACATAAAGAACTCTTACAACTCATTAATAAGACAAACAACCCAGTAACAAATAGCAAAGGATCTGAACAGATACGTTGCAGAGAAGATGTACAAATGGCCAATGAGCACATGAAAATGGGCACGGTGGCTCATACCTGTTATCCCAGCACTTTGGGAGGCTGAGGTGGGCAGATCATGAGGTCAGGAGTTCGAGACCAGCCTGGCCAACGTAGTGAAACCCCATCTCTACTAAAAATACAAAAAATTAGCCAGGCACAGTTGTGCATGCTTGTAGTCCCAGCTACTGGGGAGGTTGAGGTAGAAGAATCTCTTGAACCCGGGAGGCGGAACTTGTGGTGAGCTGAGACTGAGCCATTGCACTCCAGTCCAGGTGATAGAGTGAGACTTTGTCTCAAAAAAAAAAAAAAAAAAAAAAAATTCTAAACCTTACTAATTATAAGGTAAATGTGAATTAAATCCATAAATTACGCACCCACTAGAGTGGCTAAAATAGAAAAGATAGATAATCCAAAAGCCAGCTTTACTGTTGGTGAGGATATGGAATTCTTAGAACCCTCACACATTATTGACAAGAATGTAAAATAGTATAGTCACTTTAGAAAACTGACATTTTCTTATAAAGTTAAGCACATATCTATTATACAACCTAGTAATTCCACTCCTACATATTTACCCAAGATAAATGAAAATGTATGTTCACAAAAAGACTTGTACATGAATGCTTATAGCAACTTTATTCCTAATAGCCCAGACTAGAAACAACCCAAGTGTTCATCAACAAGTGAATAGATAAACAAATCATGTTTATGAGCAGCATTATAGAATACCATTCGGCAATAAAAAGGAATGAACTACTGATACACGAACATTATGAACGAATCTTAAAAACATTGTGCCAAGCAGAAGAAACATATGTACCATACATACTGTATGTTTCCATTTATCAGAAATGCTAAAGTAGGTAGGCAAATCTAATTCACAGAGACAGAACACAGATCAGTGGTAGCTGGGAGAGGGAGGGCGAGGGTGGAGGGAAACTGCAAAGAAACAAGAGGAAATTCTGTGGTGTTGAAAATATTCTCTCACTTGTGATATGCTTATGGCATGGTTGCATGGGTGGATACATTTGTCAAAACTTACTGAATTTTACACTTAATAGGTGCATTTTATTTATAAAACATACAAAATATACATATTTGTATACAATATACATAAATTATACATATGTGTATTATATAATTTACATACATGCAAATTATACCTTAATACAGTTGATTTTTTTTTTTTTTTAAAAGGAGGCCCCATTGGGTGAAAATGAATGTTTATCGACACGTGCCTCCACAGCCCACATCATCCTCTCACCATTTGCCTTGAAAAAGAAGGAAGTCTAGGCAGGGAGAGCTCAGAGCTTAAGGTTTCTCTTGCTCAGGAAGCCAAGGTCTCACCTGGGCTAGGTAGTAGCCATTGGCTGAACGAAGCTGCACAGTGGGGCTCTCACTGTCACATTCAAACTGGAACAAGGACATTGGGGTTAAGCGCTCAGAAGCAGCACGCACCTCATCATCTGCAGAGGAAGCGCATGTCAGTAAAAGCTTCACCCTCAGTCTCGGCCCCTTCTCCATGTTTTATGACCAGGGCTTCTGTCCCTCCTCTTTCCCTTCTCAACCTTCATCACTTTCTGTTGGACCATGGTAGGTCTGCAGAAGACCCAGGCAACTTTCTCCTAAATCCCATACCCATGCTTTTCTGTCCTTCTCGACGGCACAAAAGATCCCCTTGGGACCCCAGGACCTTCCTTATTAGCAGACTCAAAAAATCTATGCTGATCCCAAACACATTTTCCTCTTTTCAACAGCCAGCCCTTCCTCTCTCCATCGCTGTGTTGGGCCCAGCACTTACCGTAGATGACAGAAATGAACCGCCGAGTCTTTGACCTGAGTCTCACCCAGGTTGGGCAGTGCTGTAGGATGAACCACTCCTCACCCCTCACGGGGTTGCAGCCCAGGCCCAAGAGCAGATGCGTGCCCTGTGGATATAACATGCCTCCTTCTCCATCACACAGTGCCACAAGCCCTCCAGGCCGCACTTGCATGTGAAAAGCTGTCTGTGATGAGGGTTGGGAGAACAGCCGGTCTACATGGGACAAAAAGTGGTGTGTAGAGGTCTCCAGGTGGTAGCATCCATCTCGAAAATGCAACAGGAAGCCACACTCCTCCAGGCAGGGAACTGCTGCATCCACCCAGATGCGGCCCATAGTGGGGTCAGCCCGGGCATAGCAGCGGTGGATGGGGCTGTAGAGGATCACGTGGACATGGAGGGCTGGTCGGGGGGTCCACATGTGGTAAGCTGACAGGACCCGGGAAGTGCAAAACACGTCCTTGCCATTGGACTCCAGATAACGACCAGAAATTAGGCACTGGAGGGTCCACTTGCTGTTCCGATGGAAACGCAATAGAAAGCACCCATGGTGGCTGGTCCTTGGGCGGCCATAACACATAGTGCCATCACACTCACACAGCAGGTAGAGGCCCTGCACACTCTTTAGTCGTACCACGGCCTGTGTCTCATGCTCATTGCTCACCAGGATCTCCCAGGTCTGGAGGCATCAGGAGGCAGAGGAGGGAAATCAGTGTCACTAAGTTACCAGACCAAGGAGACCTGCAACTGTCATGGCTGGCATCATCCTGGCACCTTCATCAGCACCAACCACCTGCCCTTCCACATCAGCCCTGGTATCTCCTTGCTGTCAGCTCTTCCACTTTCCCACTCTCCCCTCATCAAAAGATCTCTGGGCCCTTCCACCCCTGCAGCCAGATGGCAAGATCCAAAGATAAGTTCTTGATGTCCACCTCCTTCAGCTAACAGAAGGTAAACCTCCCTCCTTTCTTAATCCCGCTCTTCAATATCTAATTTTTAAAGAAATGCTTTGGTATAAGTCTTACTTTTTTCTTCCTCACTGTTGTCCACAGAGAGCACCCTTAGCCAAAAACTCCATCCCCAAAGGTTGCCTTCCAGCATAGCAAGACAGAAGCAAAAGCTCTTATAGGCAGGCCCTGGCTCCAGGGATGAAGATGGGAGCACAAACAGTTCAGATGCAACTGCCTGGTTCAGCTGTGATCAACCTTGTTATAAAAGGAAGAACTTCTCCCCTGCCTCACTCTGGCACCCATCCCAGAGGTGCCTACATTCCTCTCTAGAATGAAGACCAACACTGCTAGGGCTTCTGGAGTTCCCCTTTCTCAAACCACAACCAGAACAGAAACATAGGCTTTGCAATAACTCCACTGCTCCAACTTCCCCTGGATGCCCACAATTCTGCTTTCCCACCTGGGCTCTCCACTTCTCTTCTTTATGACACAACCACCCTGTGCTGGGATGGGGAATAGGGGACAGTTAGAGCAGGACAAGGCAGCGAGGGCAAGGCTGAGGCTTCTTTTTGTGGAATAAGTTGAGAGGTGGGAGATGGGGCAATGGGGTCTGTGAACAAAAGCCTGGAGTAGAAAAGTCTCAGGGCTGGCAATGGCAGAACCTAGGAAAGTGATTAGGTTGAGAGTACATCCCACTTTCATATACAGGCAAGTGCATACACACACACACACACACACACACACACAGCTTGGCCACTCAGAAAACTGGTTCCAGTATAGGTTTGCTTTGTCACCTGTCTCCTGCCCAAACTCTTCGCAGTTGCAGTGACTGTATTCTTGCATGCCTCAAAGGTGAGGTAAGTTCCTGCCCAGCTGATGAGCCCAACCCTTAGGTCCTCAGCCTTGGGATGTCTGTGTATCCACTCCATCTCATCCATGGGGCCGACACCACAGGTGATGACTCCGTCTGGCCCAGCCCTCCCCCCCGTAGTGAGGTTCCACAGGCCATAGGGCCTGTAGTACCCACCAGATGTTCCCAGAGAGAACTTCCCAGGCAGAGGCTGGCCTGGGGCCCAGCACCTCTGTGACCCGGGAGCATTGTGACTGTGAGGGCAGCCTCTTATCCCACTGTAGTGGGGAAAGGGCCCTTGCCCAGCAGCATTAATCCATGGCCTAGAGGAGGCGGGTCCAGAGCCTCCGGTGTTTGCGTTCCTATTCCCCTCTGGGCACCGAGGTAGGCTGAGCTGAGACCAGGATCTGGAACTTCAACCTGTGAATTTAGGCAAGTTTTCCCCTTTCTTTACCTCTGTTTCTCATTCTAATAACAGGATAGAAATCAACCTCTTTCCTCCCAAGGAAGTGGGTTCTGCCTGGCTCCCTTGCAGCTCAGGTATTTTGTTAAGTAAAAGATATCCAAGAAAAATCTATCAACTTTTATGGCCTTTAAGAGGATGAGGTCAAAATGTTCCAGATGTTGCTTTGCAGGGAGTATGAGGAAACCCTAGTTAATCAGCTGACATCAAATAACACATATTCATCACGAAGGCTGGCTCAGGACCTGAGTAAGGAGAAGCGCATAGGTGGAGAGAGCACCAAGCAGCCCTCCTCAACCCCAGCTGCTCTGCTGGTGGGTAGGACAGCTGGCTGGGCAGACAGTCAGAGCTCCTGCAAAGATATCTTTCCCCTTCAAAGAATCTCCGAGTTATAGTCTCTTGGACTCACTTCCTGCAAAGCTTGAGGAGAAAACCCAGCTCAGAACCTGGAAAAAGTGACATGAAGGAAAAAGTGACATGAAAGAAAAAGAAAGGCAAAAAGAAGTGATGATGAGTTCTGCCTAAGCCTGGCTAGGATCCAAGGAAAAATGGGCAGTCAATCACACTTGGAGAATAGGCCACTCTCCTGGTTCCTTTTTTTGAGACAGGGTCTTGCTCTGCTAGCTAGGTTGGAGTGCATCTCAGTTGACTGCAGCCTTGATCTCCCAAGCTCAAGTGATCCTCCCGCCTCAGCCTCCTGAGGTGCTGGGACCACAGGTGTGCACCTCCATGACCAGGTAATTTTTTATTTTTGTTTTTTTGTAGAGATGGGATCTTGCCATGTTGCCCAGGCTGGTCTTTAACTTCTGGGATCAAGCAATCCTCTTGCCTCAGCCTCCCAAAGTGCTAGAATTACAGGCATGAGCCACAGTGACCAGCCACCCCTGGTTCCTTACACCTGCTTTCCTATTCCCCATAGGTGGGGTCTTCCCAGGTAGCAAGAGTCTCAGTGGCGAGCAGCAAGGAACTACAAGCCCCAGACTCCACCCACGTTTTATAAAATAAGGATAATAGACTATTAGTGGCAGAATCCTCTGGGTAATTTTATTTTTTATTTTTTTGAGACGGAGTCTTGCGCTGTCACCCTGGAGTGCAGTGGTGTGATCTCAACTCACTGCAAGCTCCGCCTCCTGGGTTCACGCCATTCTCCTGCCTCAGCCTCCCAAGTAGCTGGGACTATAGGTGCCCGCCACCGCGGCCGGCTAATTTTTTGTATTTTTTTTTTAATAGAGACGGGGTTTCACCGTGGTCTATCTTCTGACCTTGTGATCCACCCACCTCAGCCTCCCAGTGCTGGGATTACAGGTGTGAGCCACCGCGCCTGGCCTCCCCTGGGTAATTTTAAAGATTCATATTGTTGGGCATCAGACTAGTCCTGACGAATCACATTTTCTGAAATGTACCTCAGGATTCGCATTATTAACGCACATTCTCTCCCCCTCTAATTTTAATGTGCAAGGCAAACATTAAGAACTGCTCTAAGTAGCTACGAGAATGATGGGAAGAGTTACGTGGTTCATGGAACTATGAAGGGAGATCCTGTAATCTTCAGCAAAGGGTCCTTGAAGCTGGGAAGGAATGAGACGTCCACCACTGGAAACCCTACAGTATTTCCAGCCCAATAAGGAGGGAGAAGCTGAGCTAAAGGTATGAGTGGGTGGGGTTGCCCTGCAGCCTTAGCTGCTTTGATCCTCTCCCATGAGGTCTCTTGGTACCCAGTAACCCAGCCTCCCCGTTGCAGGCTATAGACAACACCGTGTACAAACCACAGCAAATTTATTACTCAAGATCCAGTGCCACATTATAGCACCACCCGGAACCCTCACCTTCCCCCCCAACCTGGCCCCTAGAGTACACCCAAAACAGAAAAAAAAGGAAACCCAGATCCCTGCTCCTCCTCTGGAAGAGGGGGCCTTGGCCAGGAAGCCCCTTCCATAGGTCCCAGCAGGCAGGAGAGTGGACCCCTCTGTGCCCAGAGAGCAAGGCTCCAGGCTCCAACAACAGAGAGAACATGCAGGCAGGAGCAGGAGCAGAGGCCTGTGGCTGTGGGGGAGGAAGAGTGGGAGGAAAGGGCACTGCCTGAGGAGTCCGGGAGTCTGGTCATCCCGGGGATGCACGCAGGAGCTTCCGGGCATCAGGGGCCTGCCCCTGGCTGGTTAGCGCTTTGACAGCTCGTGGGACAGCCAGTCCAGACCATCATAGAGACCTGTGCCTTGGGTGGCACAGGTGGCCTGGACATACCACTGTGGGGAAAAGGAAAGAAAGAGGTCAGAAACCAGGAACAAAAGGGCCTTTATATCCCTGTCCCAGCCTGTGGCCTCCCTAAAGAGGCAGGATTCAGCACCAGGTGGGCAGGACCCTTACCGTGCGGCTGCGCAAGTGCTGTAGCCCCAGCTTGTCAGTCAGCTCGCTCACGGGCATGGCGTTGGGCATGTCTTGCTTGTTGGCAAATACCAGCAGCACTGCATCCCGCAGCTCGTCCTCCTGCAGCTGAGAGGGGAGAAGAGAAGGTGGGACCCAGGCTGCGTCTTCTTTACTGTGTGGGGAATTCCCTTTCTACCTCCTAGGATCTTGATTGGAAAAAAAAATATTGTGTAGTCTGCCACTGAAGACAAGACATAGTTGTAAATGAGCTTGAGGTGACCTGAGCCATAAGTCCAGAAAAGAAAGACCTTTTCCTAATTTAAGTACTTGCCTAGGCAAAATGACAACACTTCCAAATGGAAAAGGCAAGAATGTAAAATGTTTCTCTTTACCACATATAAGTCCCATTTCCCCTGCAACTTCTCAGACTCAGATGTAAAGACATGAGAATGCAGCTGGGCGCGGTGGCTCATGCCTGTAATCCCAGCACTTCGGGAGGCTGGGGCAGGTGGATCACCTGAGGTCGGGAGTTCGAGACCAGCCCGGCCAACATGGTGAAACCCCATCTCTGCTAAAAATACAAAAATTAGCTGGGCATGGCAGAAGGCGCCCGTAATCCCAGCTACTCAGGAAGCTGAGGCAGGAGAATCGCTTGAACCCGGGAGGCAGAGGTTGCAGTGAGCCGAGATTGTGCCTTTGCACTCCAGCCTGGGCAACAAGAGCAAAACACCATCTCAAAAAAAAAAAAAAAAAGAGACACGAGAATGCACAGAAAGTCAGTCCCATCCAAAACAGGGTGAGATACACAATGTATCTGTCCATAAAGAAAAACTTGTATTTCTGGTCTTCAATGCTTGTTGGGGGCTCCCTGACTTCTATAGCACTAGAGAGATCACTCTGTCCCCAACCTGAGGGTTCAGTTCCCAGGGCTCTGGGTACTTACCATCTTCTGGAGTTCATCAGCAGATTCTTGGACCCGCTCCCGGTCATTACTGTCCACCACAAAGATGAGGCCCTGGGCAAGAAGGAAGAAAGGAGAAGCAATCACTCCTGCCTGGGACATACTGTAGTGTGGCCCTTTCTCTTCTCTTGCCGTCTGTAATTGTGTCAATCCTTCTCATCTAGTAAACGCTACAGAAGTTTACAGAACTCCATAGAAGCTCTACAGAAGTCCTAGCACAAACTAGAGACCCCACCGCAAAGAAGTAGTAGTTTATCTAAAGAAGTGCAAGGAAATAAAGACATGTGATGAGGGCTAAATCAGGCAGCCTGGCCCCAGAATCCTGCTTCTAAAAAGAAGTTCAAGCTGGTGAAGACTAAGGTGAGTTCTGAAGAGTGAGTAGAGGGTAGCCAAACAGAGGGGGTAGAAGCGGGGAAGGGTTTTCTCCTTGGCCTGGGGGCCCAGCCCAGGCCAACAATTCTGTTCTCCCAGCCCTAACACCTTTTCCCGTGGGGTTAGAGAGTCCCCTCCCAACACTCCACCTGAGTGTTCTGGAAGTAGTGCCGCCACAGAGGCCGAATCTTGTCCTGGCCTCCCACGTCCCAGACTGTGAAACAGATGTTCTTATATTCCACTGTTTCTACATTGAAGCCTGCAGATAATTGGGGAAAAAAAATATGAGAAAAACTCCTGAAAGGAAGGAACTCACTGAAACTACTTAGATCTCAGCAGGGACACAAAACCAGAAGGCAATGATCAAGGCCCAGCGGAACAGAACCCCAGAACTGCCGGTCAACAGGGCGGGGCTAGGTCACATCCACCCCGCCTCCGGTATCCACGTAGAGATACCCTGACCCACTTCTCAAATAGCTGTATCTGGTGTCAGGGTCAGCTCCAGAAAAGTGGCAGAACTGGGAGCAGACCCCGAGAGGGCCCGCCGCGGCGCTCCCGCTCCCTGCTTCGTCCCCGGGCTCACCTATGGTTGGGATGGTGGTGACAATCTCCCCCAACTTCAGTTTGTACAGGATTGTGGTCTTGCCAGCCGCATCCAAGCCAACTGCAACGGAGAGGGGCACAGGGATGGAGATGGGAGCGAGGGAGCCCCCTAGAGACCAGGGAAAATGAGAGGCCACAACAGCTGATGGTGACGGGGGCGGAGAGCGGGAGCGCCTCCAGGTGCGCGTCGTTATCTACCTTCGGGGCCTGGAGGGCAGTTGGGTGGCGTGAGCCAACTCCAAAGAGGGCGCGGCGCGGGAAAGGGCTGGGATGCAAGGGGCACGGGGGGTAGGCCGCGCTCCTTTTAAAAGTCGTCTCCAAGGGCGGAATCCTCCCTTCTTATCAGCCGGGCAGGGGCGGAGGGAGCTTCACCCCACCCAGGCCCGCAGCTCCGGGTGTCAGGCCCCGGGGTCGGCGCTGCAGACCGGGACCCGCCCGAGAGCTGAGGCCCCGGGGCGTTAGGAGGTGGGTGACTCGGGGCCAGAGACCCAGGTGAGCGGGGCTGGAGGGACGCGGGGGCGGAAGGGCTGCGCCGGGGCCGGCGCCCCGGTCCGGGCCGCGCGCTCGATCTGCCTCACCCATGAGAATCCGCATCTGCTTCTTCCCGAAGATCCGCGAAAAGAGCGCGGACACGGTGAGGCCCATGGCGGGGCCAGGGGAGGGGGCGCGGGCACCGACGCGGGGTGCGGGCTGGAACTGGCCGGCCGCGGGGGGATGGGGCGCAGCAGCAGCAGGAGGAGGCTCCGCCACCGCCTCCGCGCGTCGCTGCCCTCCCGACGTCACCGCGGGCCCGCCCCCACCCGGGCCCCGCCCCCGGCTCTGGGCCCCGCCCCACCCCGGGTCTGGCTCCTGGGGAAGCCGAAGCTCCGCGAGTAGCCGCCTCTGGCCTGGGTCCCGCGCCGCCCTTATTTGGGAACGGGTCTGGGTCTCCCGCCTGTCAGGCCTGTGGCCGCCAAACCGGCAGCCCGAGCGCGGCTGAGGAAAGGCTTCATCGCTCCGCATCGGCCTCTGCCCCCATTT